TAATTGTTCGTTTAAGTTATTAGCAAAAGTACTCCATTTGATGGGGTTAATGGATTGAAACTAGGAAAAAAATTAGTAAGAAACCGAAAAACTCGAAGAACAACAGTTAAAAAGTAATTATAATCCATTTGGTTCACAATAAATGACTTCTTGAATATTATATGTGACTCATGAATATGTGTATGTATAAATTGAAAATTGAAGGGATTGGTAGATGAAGCCAAAGTGGACTCCTTCAACATACCAATTTACTACCCCTCATCGGAAAAGGTCATAGCCATAGTAGAGAAACAAGGTTGGTTTAAGATTGAGCAGATTCAAGAAATAGCTCGCCCAATGATTCAGCAGTTAAGCAAGCAAGACATTGAGAAATATGCATTGTTTGTAAGAGGTTGGGCTGAAGTGGTGGTCCGAGATCATTTTGGGGTTGAGATTGTTGATAAGATATTCAACAATTTCACAGAGAAGCTAATGAAGTCAGGGCTCCTCTCAGATCCTAGCATTGCACCCGCGGTGGACTTGTTTGTTCTCCTCATGCGTACTAATAACTGAATGAATGTTAAACATTCTTCTATAACTTAAAGCATCATATTCACCATGCCCTATATAAAACAATAAAATGACATGAGGGAAAGGAACTTTGATAAATTAAAAAGGCTAAATTGTGACTTAAGCCTTTTAGTTGATACTATTTAGCTAGTATATGCATGATTGATGTTTTAGCATGAATCTGAATATGCTCATATTTATCCTAAACCATCCAGTAATTGAATAATCTCTGCCATGCGAACTCTATCTTCATGCACACCAGCATATAATATTCACACATTGTAGAGTAAAAATTGCAACATGCATGTATATATGTTATCAAAATACTAAAAAGAGGCAACATAAAAATATAGGAAAAAGGAAAAAGGAAAGAAAGCAAAAGGGTTGTCGCTATAGGTACATACAATTTTATTAATATTAAATACGTTTCAAAAATAAAATTATTAATATCAAATAGAATTTTGTATAATGTCACACTAAAATTAGTGTGAGCATTTAATTTGATTAATATTTTATTTGTTTATAATTTTTTTAAATAATTTGTTATAACATTTGGAAACATCACTGTTTTATTTATTTAAATTTAATTTTAATATAATTTTATGTATTATTTAAATAATTAATTAATTTAAAATTATGATATTAAAAATATTTATTTATTTAATATTATTAAAAATTTATTAAAAATTTATCTTTATATCACTGTTTAAGAAAAAGCAATCGTGAATATTTCAGAGCAGATCCAGTGACTAATTCAACACATGGACAAAGGGTGCACTAACCAGAAGAATTCCATGAGACTCGCCAGAATACTCCAGTTTGATTGATTGGAAAATAAAGCGAATTTTATTTGTTGGATTATTCCGGGTGTGTGTTTGTCCAAGGATAGCGATAATATCCTGGCTTTTAAATTCCTCTCCCATCGTCTTTTAGTTAATCCTAAATTAATTAAAATTACCAATGTTTAATGATATTTATGGTTCGGTACCGTTAATTTGGACAGTAAAATTCTCAAAAGGGTGATATAAAGATAATTTTTTATATTATTTTTTTATAATTGTTATATATTATTAAATATATAGATATATTTAATATTATGAATTTTAAATAAATAAAAATAATAATTATTCAAATAATACATAAATTTATATAAAAAATTAAAATAAAAAATTTATTTTAAAATCATTTTGAAAATCGGACCATATCATTAGCAACAAAGAGTCCCTGTCACCACCATCTCAGCACTGGATCACACCCTTTCACTGCCTACGTTACTTTTAGCCTTTGCTTGGATTGAGTGAATCCAAGGGGAAGGGGAGGAGAGAAAAGGAGAGGTTTTTCCTCTCTCATGTATTGAAAACAACATTAAGAGAAGGGGACGGAAGGGAAAATAGATGAAGGGAGATGGACTTCTTCCGAATCCCTTATCTTTAATCTTTTATGATAGGCCTTTTTTAATATTTTAAAATTACTAAAATAATAAATTACTAGGACCTTTTCATCCTAATGCTCTTGCCTTTGATGAAAAATTTCCCC